TCTGAAGTACACCAAAATGTTAAAGTCTTGTAGATTTGTTAGATTCATAATCGTTTTTGTAGTTCAGAAAAGTTTGCCTTTCTGTACTCATCAAGTGCCCTACACATTTCCTTTTTTTATCACATTAGTTCACTGAATATTACTTGTATGGCTGCTTTTTCTTGATAATGAACACAGTTCAAAGAGGAAGTGCCTGGTGTGGAGGTTGAATGTGCAGAGGAGCTGAGAAGATGCCAAGAAATAGAGAGTAAAGCTGGATCAACTGTGTTCCCCATCAGCTGGACATTCACCATCAAAGCCGTGAACAAGGTATGTTCGTACATGTATACATTACATCTTTGGGAACCAACTTAAAAATTTACACTGTAAAAAAGAAAAAATAGGGCCCCACTACCTAATATATCAATTAGTATGGGCTCAACTGAAGGGATTTCCAAAATGGCATCACAATGCAGATATTTCGATCGTATTTTGACCAAGTCACCAGCTTGGCCACTTTCAAGAATATTCTGCTGTATTTCTTGAAATATAGCTTCACTTTAAAATGATTTGGGTGCCACAATTGCAGTTGAATAATTTTTGCCTACTCTTCCAAATTGTATAACTCTTTTATGCTTGTCCATCTGTCAGAAGTTTGGAATAAATGAAGCAACACATGAAGTAACATTTCCCTTCAAATTTCTTGTTAAAAGCAGAAACCTCTCCAGGAAGTGGGTTTGCTCTTTCCTGACCCCCACATCAGGTTCCACCTGTCTCGTGCCCGAGACAAGCACCAGGTGTGTTCCGGTGGGGATCTCAGTGATGGCAGTGACACCTACCGAGTTCAAGTGGTATTCTCTTCAGAAACCCTAGGAACCTTCAACCAGTGGGTAGTGTTCAACTTTGGCAGTGAACCGGTGTTAATCCGTAAATTGCAGGTTTGTGCAAATAACAAGAGTTTTAAATCCTACACATCCCTTCACCAACATGTTGCCCCTGCCAGCACCTGAAGATGTCACTTCCGGAGTACTTAAGTGACATGTGTCCTTTGCTGCTTGCCATAATCTTATCAATGTTGATTTTATAGTACTTTTAAGCCATTATCCTGACAGTTCCCAGTGATTCTCATGCCATTTTAGTTTTCTACTTTTAATGTTTTTCGGTTCCACTTTAAGGATGGATTAAATGGCTTTTGTTGTTTACTCTTTTTTGGCCAAATAAATAATAATAATAACAGTTGAGAATACTTGAGAGTGATACGATTACTAGAAATGTTTTTAGACTTAACCAGGGTTGGCAGGATTTGTAAAAAATATCACAAAAATTAAATTAACTAAAAGTTAACTTCATTTCTTTAATGTTACAAAGTACAATCCTGAATTGTTGGATTCTGTCAGCAATTTCTGAAATGGTTACTCAGCCAGTTAGCTGAGAGAATAGTGTTTAGAGTAAAAAAAAAGGGTCATCAAGGAGTTCTGTGAAATCCAAATAAACTTTGACAGGTTAATACTTGTTGAAAAAACAAACACTGCAGGAACAAGTGGATTTAACTGTCACAGAACACCAACTGTTTAGCTTTTAATCCTTTGTGGTTTAGCCAGCTAGCATTGGATCTGGACCTAATTACAGGAACCAATTAACACTTTTGATAATCTTTGTGTGGGAGCTGTAGATGTCAGACATAGCATAGTTCCAGGTAAAACAAATGCATCCTAGGTCAAAACCTTTAACTGAAAAAATGCCTGGTTCAGGCTCTTTTTCTAAACTAAACCTTCCCTAAGAATTTAGGGTGCAACTGGATAGATTTGTGTTATGAATAAAAGTTGTGGGTGCATCAGTTTTAACAATTAAATGAAACTGAACATGTATTCCAATCTCAGAAGTTCCAGGGTGCTGTGTTTCTCCGACCAGGAGAATACAAAGTGGGTACCCATTGGGTTAGATATCAAATTTTGGGGTTGTCTAGTGGCAGCAAGGACTGATATCATGGCCCAGTGAGCAGGGGTAATAATCAGAGAAATAAGTCACTATATAAACACAAAGTTTACATCCAGTTTTTCTTTGAAGAAAACTGGCTGTTGATCTTACAGAAAACCCCATTAATTTGCTACAGTCTCTTAATAATTAATAAAATTAGTACTTTAACTTGATGATATTAAAACATAAAGTTAGGGGTGATGTAGGAAATCATTTTTTTCCAAAAACCTTGGCACATTTAGCGGGGCAACACCTTTACTTAGTTGTTTTGGCCGTACCCATTGCTTTCTGTATACTGAGACTCAGCCTTCACTTTTTAAGCAAAATTGTAGATCTGGTAAGGTTAGTTTATTTAGAGCATAAAGAGTTACTCATGCTTGTCTGTGTGTAGTGAAAAAGAGAAAACATTTGTTGTGAATTCTTCCAAAATAAAGGTTAATGTTGGAGCAAGGGATATGCCAATCCCCAGCGTGCCCAGCAGAATACCTACTGAACCATGGAACAACAGCAACAGCCAACTTGTCAAGTATTCGGACCCTGCAAACATGACCGCCAGCCAACAAGCAGAACGGAATCTGGTTGAAGGACTGCAAGAGCGTTATCCTTACCAAGCACCCCACAGGTACCGAGACCGCAGCATCCTCTCCGAGGAGCTCAGCTGTGACAACTACAAAGAAGTCATGCACAACGTGCTGTACTTGGAGGAGAAGGAGTGCAGCAGGAAGATCTCCAAGTCAGTCTTTTCTCTCAACCCCAAGGGCACTCTTTGCCAATTTTATAAATCCATTCCCTTTAAATGGGTCATAAGAGAGATAAATTCCTGTGTTTATTGTGAACAAGTGATGGGAATGATAAAAATAAAATCCAGTTGCATGATTAAGGAAGTAATGTACCGAATCTCTGCCAAAAGTGAAATGCCTGTAACAAACAGTGTGTTTCTTTTTCCATAGTGTATACCTGTAACATACAACGGTCTGTAACTAGAACTTTCTATCAGTTCTTTAAATGTCTTATCATGTTAATGATGGATCTAAGTTGATATAACCTACTTCTTTTCAATACAAAAGTGTGGGGAATGATCCTTTAACCTATCTAGGGCAAAACTGGGGGGTAAATGACCCCCTTCCTACTTTACCTTAGGTTCAGCTTTGGGAAAGGTTATCCCCATAAATATGCAAATGTGAGGCTATATGAGGCCCCCGTGATGACGCTGTCTCTGATTTAGCACAGCCACTGCACTCCATGCCCTTGGGTAGCACTAGGACTCCTATCACCCCCCTCCCCCAGTCTTGATGATAGCTTTTCCCCTGCCCATCGCCCTGACTAAAAATTGGTTTTGGAAGGACACAGTCAATCTGTGCTTGAGATGGCCCTGTTGCTAAAGCCCCAGACATTTCACTCTTTAAACATTAGGTTTGCAACATCCAGCATCCTGAAGGTTGCGTCCCAAGTGGAACTGCCTGACGGCATGCATTTTGCTCCAAGAGGGTACTTGTTTGCCAGCATCGACCTGCAGCAGGCATTGATAGATGACACCGTGACCAGCCAGATCATTATCAAGAGTGTCCATAACATACTGCTCAAGTTTGGTTCCACAAAAAAGGTATTAAATAGAAATATTCTTGTGAACAAAATTAACCACAGGTTCACAATGTATTGCCATAATTTTGTTATCTTTATTGCAAATCAGATGCCAGATCATTCATGAATATGTAAGCAAATACCAGCACATGTGGAACATGTCTCTAAGATTCATAATGATACATATTTCTCTTGGTCAGAATTTGTCACTTTTCATACAAGTCACAGGTCAACAAACCCACTGAAAATATCACTAACTTATCACGATTTTCTACATAGCAACTTGACTTTGTACAGGGTCAGATCAATTTTTTTTTGGGGGGGGGGAAATTGGGAATTTCTTATTGCAACCTTTGTCGCCTTTCCAGTGATTAGGAAGGGAGGGAAATAAACTAGTTTCCTTATTTCATGTTTTTGTTGTATTTAAAAAAAAAAACAACACTATCTTTTTTGAGGGGGAATGGCACTCATTTTCCCACCTGGCCTTAGTATATTGTGATTCTTTGAATAGAAGTTAATCAGATTTCATTTGACTGTAAAATCAGGTTTTCATGGCTAAATGCATGGCACGTGGCATAATAAGGGATTGGAAATCAGAATGCTTCTCAAAACTGTAATGGCATTTAGAGACCAGACAAATGACTCTTGGATTTTCAGATATTTGTCAGAAAAATATTTTAATGGCTATTCTTGTAAGAATATGTTGTCACAGGATGACATGTGCTGAAAATATGATTTTGTTTCTATCAGATCTATGAGGCCGCCATTTTTACGAATCAGACATTTGGGAATGGAACTCAGCACAGCATGTATGTGAAGTTGAGCCCGCAGTGCGTTGCAGACCAGCAGCTGATCAGTGGAACTGAGCGAGATGTTACCATCCAGCTGCAGCTGGACAGGACCCAGTTTGTCTTCAAGCATTTTGCCATTGATCGGTTGCAGCATATGGACATGGTACTGCCTGACCCAAACAAGCCACAAGAGTGAGTCCATATTGTTAAGTAGACATGTACATGTAACTTGAGACAAATTAGGGGCCTATGAAAATGTTACAGGTTCACAAGAGTACCACAGCTTGCCGTAAAACATATGAACCTTCGCACACGCACAAGGAGAGTTTCTGGGTTGCTATCTGACACTGTATTTTCAAAATTCAGGACAGCCTCAAATTAGCTACTGTAGCTTAGCATTGACATAAAATTTGATGATAAAGTGCAAACCAGCACTGCAACATTAGGGATGACTTACCTGCCATAAAGGGGGCGATATCAACCCCAAGTTGAAAAGAGGGAGGGAACAGTTGCCCTTTTGGACAGTCTCACTTCTGCTGGCAGTGCTGAGCATTGATATTTAGAGCATCAGAAACACTGCCTAGAATTAATGGAGTACTTAAGAATAAGGCAGGTACAAATCGGTATTATGGTAAGACAGAAGTGGTAACAAACATTTCTTTTTTTTTCTTGCTATATCAGGCTGCCGGATTCTGGTCAACGGTGGACCGACGACGGGACAAACCCACGACAGGACAAAATCGTGCACTATATCACCACCTATGGTGGGGAGGGAGCCCTTTCGATGCCTGGCATGGGGCCTGTACTCCTATGTGGACCCTTTGGAACTGGGAAGACTTTCACATTGGCAACAGCAGTGATGGAGACATTGACAGAACAGCCTGAGAGCAAAATGCTGATTTGTACACACTCAAACAGGTGAGATCTCTCAGTAATCTCTATTAGAAAAGAGAAAATTTTATCCCTCTCTTATCCTTGTCTTAGCCTCTTTAAAAAATACATCAATAATGAGGGTGTGTTATATGTATCTTCATTCTTGTACCCATGAGAGTGGAGAATACCACCTTGCTACAGACAGCCAGTAACCAAATTTTTTGGTGTTACATTGTTTTTTGTGACCATGTAGTGCTGCAGACTTGTACATCACCAACTATCTGCACAAGTTTGTGCAGATGTCAAAGTCACGCCAACCGGATCTGAAAATGATCCGCATCTATGCTACTTACCGTAACATCAGCTCAATCCATCATGATGTCCATGACTACCTGCTCCAAGACAATGACGGCAACATCCGCCTTCCCTCAGACGAGGATATAAGAGCTGCGCAAATCGTCGTGACCACACTCACCACAGCAGTGCACCTTGTCTCACAGACTATGCAAGGCTGTTTCTCTCACATCTTGATTGATGAGGCCGGCCAGGTCTTGGAGGCCGAGGCGTTGATGCCTCTTGCCATGGCAACCAAAGATACATGCGTTGTCTTGGCGGGGGACCACATTCAGATGAGTCCCAAGGTAGGAGGAATTTTGCTTTGAAACATTTTCTGCTTTGTTGAATTTCACCAAATTTTATACATCTTTGATGCCTTTTTGCAATGATAATTTCCTTTTTGGCATGTCCCTAGCTATGTGCAGTCAAGTATATTTGTCAAAATTTATTAGTATCTGATCATGATATGCATGGTACACATATTGACATGCAAGTTTTTCACATTTTCCATGTAAAAACTTCATTAAGGCCTTTTTTTAGGCCTATGGTTAACTTTTTGGATCATCCTATTTTTAACGAGTATGTGAAATGTATGCTTGAAAGGAAGGGGTTGTATGCACTTTTCGTAGTGTAGCAAAAAAGCTGACATGTGGGCCACCATAGTTTGCTTACTTTTTAGAATTGGTTTAGGTGTCAGAGGAAAACACTGTGTGATAAAAAAAATGGATGGCCCATTTTCCAACAAATATGGAGGCTACTGTGCATTTGAAAATGTGGAAAAAGCATACTCTTCAAAATGTTGAGTACCCTCCAATTCTTTTCAGAACCACACATACTCAAAGAGAGATATCCTCGCATGGTGTTACAGCAAAGGCAAGCTCTTGATGATGGACAAATCATACTGTTCAAAATGTTGATTACCCTCCACTTCTTTGCAAAACCACACATGCTCAACAAAAAAAATTATCCTTGCATGGTGCTACCACAAATCTCTTCACCTTACCTGCACTTAAAGTGAACTAACGTAGGCCCATGTGCCACTGATCATTCCTATTGATAGCTATTGCCACTCCATTCCTGTGTTAATTAATATTTCAGATACCTGCATTGAAAAGTTCAGGAACTCCCTTTACCCCTTAACAGTTGCCATTGATTGATGCCTTTCCCAGCAGTACTTAATCACAGCAGAGACCAGTTCATTGGCCTTTTCCATTGAGATTCCTTAATATGAAGCTGCCAATTTACCTGTTTCAATGCGCAGATTTTCTCGGAAACGGTGCGGAGTGCTGGATTCGACAAGTCCATCCTGGAGCGCTTGTTCCGGGCTAAGGCCTGCCACGTTTTTCTCACGGCTAACTACCGGACGTGCAAGCCAATACTTGACTTCATTGCCAAAACATTCTACAACCAGGCATTCTGCTCCAAGATTGACCAACCTCTGCACGAGACACTCTACCCATTAATGTTTATTGAGGTGAAAGGAACAGATCAGCGAGTTGGGAAGTCTTACGTCAACACCCATGAGGTATTTATAATAGTTTCATTTCATTGAAGGTAATGTTTAGATTTTTAGATTAAGGAAATCTCACTGAAATATTAAACTCCTTTGTCTTTGAAAAGTCTCATGGGAGTACAAGAATTTCTGTAGGAACTATGACACAAAGGGTGTCACAATCAGTCGGCATTACCCACATATGGATAGTAATTGCTACACCACGAACTGTCGTTGAAGCACCAGAATCATTGTATGTGACGCTTGGTGGTACAACCAATGATTTTCAATCATTTCTGTGATGAGCATGTTCAATTTTTTTCTGCACTTGCTGTTTAGGTTCTGGAAGTTGTGAGAAGGGTGAAGGAGTTGGATCAAACTTGGCCAGCAGAATGGGGACCTTTCAGACACGAAAGCAGCATCGGGGTTATTGCGCCGTGCATAATGCAGGTAGGTTATATTGACTTGGTTCAGTGTTGTTATTTTTTTAAATAATTTCAACAGTGTTCCATTCTTATCTACTTGCAGGCAGACCCTGCAAGTAGGCTTAACCCTTGAGAAACTTTTCCCTCCCTGAATATCATCATTGGAATGCAGTATTGTGTCAAGCCTTTAAGATGTTGGTTATAACATCAGTTTGATGCCAATTTTAATGATGAATATTGGTCCTGTGGTGGCATGAAAGGCGGTATTTCTAAGGTCTTTCCCAGATATGTTACCTGGCATCAACTTTGAATGACCATTACAACAAATCCCAATGTTGAATTGAAACTGAAATATGTTGAATTAAAACTAAAAATTAACACTGGATGTGCTTGTGAATGAGTATGCATGCCAAGTTGCAAAAGGTCAGGCATGAGAAAACCAAAATCATGATTGGAGGGGGGCAGATTCTGTCCTCAACCATCTGTGAGATTGTGGAAAAATGAAGCTCAGCATAATTTTGTGTGTAAAAGGTGTCAGTGCGAGAACCAACATGTGTACCAACATGCGCATGTACACCATTCATTTGTATTACACTTCCTGGTTCTAATAATGACACACTGCAGTACTTATGGGCTTAAGCTGCACCGAGAGAACAGATGCTTCTTTTGCCGGAACTGAACTTTGCTGGTTCACGAATGACTAGGAAATGCGTGCATCACAGTTGCATCATTACTGATGAATTGGACACTTCAGCCTATGTCATCAGCCATTCTAAATAATCTACCGGTTGTCTGACGGAAGTTGTGCTTCCATTTATCTCTGATGGCCACACCACGCAGTGTGGCTGCTTGTGCTGGTGAATAGTGGCACAGACATTCAACTAAATTGATGCCTTGTAAAAAAATCCAATCGCCCCGTCTAATGGCTCTAATTTTTTTTTACAGGTACGCGTAATCCGTGATGCTTTGCGTAAGGAAAGACTGGGCCATGTCACTGTTGAAACAGTGGATAATGTACAAGGTTAGTCTGTCTTTCAGTTTATCAATTATGAGCGTAATAGTAGCTAACAGCTGTAAATTTTAACCAGTTTTTGAAATGGGGTCTGATGCAAATTTGATAATTACTCAAGATTTAGGAAATAAAATGCAATGTCAATGTAGGGGAATAATCAGACTGACAACTGTGACAAAGCAGAATAAACAATGGTGATTCTACTGCTAGAAGGCAAAATTATATTTTTGATAATAGAATCATCATTATCATTCTAAGATTGTTCATTACAGTCTAATTTGTTTCTCTTGTATTTTCAGGAAAGCAATTCCGAGCTGTGATCATCAGCACAGTGCGAACACATAAAACCCTATCCAAGTCCAGCCCATCAGCAGGTGTCCTAGATGAGAAGGATTCAGAGTTCTACTCCAGCTTCTTCTCCGATCCCAAGATGCTCAACACGGCCTTCACCCGTGCCCAATCACAGCTGATTGTAGTCGGTGATCCGGCGGCTCTGTGCTCTGTGGGCAGCTGTTCGACAAAGTGGAGGAAGTACCTGAAAGAGTGTGAAGAAAACCAGAGCCTCCTTCCCTTGGTTAGTCCAGAGCCACTCATTAGTAGCCACTTTTCTACTGCCATTTTCTAATTATGAATGCTTCAGTGAATTAAGAAGAGTTTATCACTGTGACTTTGCCACTGAATCATTAATTTTGCATTATAGACCCTTTCATTTGAGAGTGATATGATAACCAAATTGCAATGGGAAACAGATTGAAATGGCACTCAAAAGGAGCAATTTTCTGTACTCTTTGTTGAAATATCATCCTCAAAAATGAGCAAGTCTATTGCAGATACTGGATAAAGATTTACCTGATATCATAGAATTTCTCGAGCTGTCATGTTTTCAAATCACATGATAGGTAAACGCAGAAGATAAAGGTTTATTCATAAATACCTCAGACAGTCTCCCTATTCAACAACGTGCAACTTAACTGTGTATTAACATTTGATAATGCCCGCTGAGAATTAAGTGATAATGCCCACTGCATAAATCATGCGCTGGCACATGGATACAAGTCAGTTTAGTTGATTCTGACTTGTCAAGAGTCTGTGTGCATGCAGCTCACCACATGCATGCCAATTGGATAATTTGCATAAGAAATATTCCATAAAATAGATGGGGGTGTTTCGGAAAATGAAAGTAAAATTCTAGAACAGAATTGCTGGAAATCCATCATGTAATGACTTCTTTTGACTCTGAGAGAACAGATATTTATGAATGGGAGTAATAAGTTATTCCCTTAATTAGTATGACATAGAGCTGACTGCATTGTCCTATTTTTTCAGAAGACAACCTTCTCTTTGGAATATCACGGTGCATGAGAGGTACTTTCCTTTTTCGTCATACAACAGGGGACAACCATAAGTGGCATTCATGCTGAGATCAGAGGTGCAAGTCAAAGACTGAATCCAAACGCTGTGCCATTTCAGCCAGCCAGTTACAAGAAGCGTAATCTACCTGAAGATGATGGCAGTGAATTCAACAAGGCAAGTGTTTCACCCCAGCAAGGACCTGATGACCAGGATGGCCACTCTGACACTGACTCCTTGTCCACTTATGACGATGAGAGTGACTGTGAAGACGACATGCTTTCAGAGCTTCAAAGACAGGTCATGGAGGATGAGGAGGACATGCGAGAGGCTGCCCAGCAGGCAGAGAGTGCTTCAAAGGTGCACGTGCAAGTAGCACGAGATGAGGATGATCGAGTGAGCAATGCAAAGGTTCACATGAAGGTAGCACAAGGTGAAGGAGCCGAACAAGAGAGCATCGCAAAGGTGCACCAACGTTGGGCGAAAGATGGGGGAGCTGAACAAGAGAGCATCGCAAAAGTGCACCAACGTAGGACACAAGATGGGGAAGTTGAACAAGAAAGCATTGCAAAAGTGCACCAACATAGGGCACAAGATGGAGGATCTGAACAAGAGAGCATCGCAAAAGTGCACCAATGTAGGGCACAAGATGGGGGAGCTGGGAATCCTAATCCACATCATCTTAAGGACCAAAGTGTGTCCAAGAACCATCTTCTCAGTTCTAGGACTGCTATTTTGCATGGGATATCTGACAATCAGCAGGCAAACCAAGAACAGGCTGGACCCAGCAAGATTCAAAACACAATTCAGTCTCAGCCTGTGGTCAAGTCAGACATCCAAATGAAGCCAGGGGGTTCTAAAACAAAAGGCAAAAAGACCACAATGATTCGTGCTGATCACCTTTTGAAGTTCAAATCAGTTTACCGTTCCGGACTTGTTGGAGCAGCCGATTATGAAGATGGTGCTGATGAGACTGAGGAAGAAGAGAATCTCAAGATGATGGATAAAGAGTCACAGAGGGAAGGGTTAAGACTTGTAGAAAGACAACCAGACAAATACAAAATTTGCTCATTCAAGTTTGAGATTTCTGCATTTGCTTATGCTGTCCCTAGGGGAGAAAATTCTTCCAAACAGGTCTGCATCAATGGAAGAAAGAACCGGGGGCAGGCATTACACCTGGATGAAGTTGTGGTCGAGATCCTTGAGGGTGATGCTGATGGTGATTTAGAAACCACTGATGCTTGTGTAGAGACAAAGATTTATGGCAAGGTTATCTGCATCTTGAAAAGAACAACTAACCCCAAAAGAATGAAAATAGTTTGTACCTTGGATAAATATACTGACAATCTTATGGTACCCGTAAACCACACATTCCCCAAGTTGTACGTTATATCTGGCAAAGGTGTCATGAAGGGGCGCAAGACTAGTGGTCCATCAGCAGACTTTGTCCCAGTGTCAGTTTTCAGGAGCAAGAGACCACATGGACAGATGTGCCTAGAGAGGGTGGTGAAGGTTTCTAGACAAGACAGGCAAAAAAAACTTTTCCTTGTAAAGTACTTGAAATGGGAGGATGACAACCGCTATCCTGTGGGCTATGTCACTGAAGAGCTGCCTGTTGGTGACAATAAAGAAGATGGATTGCTCATTCTAAAGCACATCCATGGTGTAAGGGATGCATTCCCACTCACTGCCATCAGAGATGTTGAGAGCATCTGTCCTTCAGACTGGCTGATTCCAGACGAAGAAATGCAGTCTCGGAAAGACTTCAGACGCAAGTCCGTTTTCACAGTTGACCATCCAGAGACCCAAGACATAGATGATGCCTTGAGCATTGAGGTGGATAATGGGATAATTGAAGTGGGCATTCACATTGCTGACGTATCTCACTTTGTCCCAGTAGCCTCAGCATTGGACAAGGAAGCCATGGAAAGAGCAGTGTCATTTTATCCGGCATTTTCAGAGCCAGTTGGGATGCTTCCCCCACAGCTGAGTACTAACCTGTGCAGTTTACTTCCTGGCCAAGATAGACTTGCTGTCTCTGTCATTTTTACCATGCAGCAAGATGGATCAATTTCACAGTCTCAGTTTGTGCTCTCTGTTATTAACTCTAAGAAGCGAGTGACATTTAAAGAGGCAGAGCAGATGATCATGACTTCAGACCATCAACAAGAAGGATCTATAGAGGAGAAGATCAGGCTCCTAAGCAAACTAGCTCAAGCACGAAGACATGCCCGTCTGTCTGATGGCTATCTAGCTTATTCCCACAACCCAGAGGAGAAAGAGCTTTGTCACCCACTTGCGTCCTCTATGGTGGAGGAAATGATGCTGATTGCCAATGAGGAAGTATCAAAGTTCTTACTTAGTAGGTTCCCTGACCTCACTCCTCTCAGAAGCCAGCTTCCACCAGACGAAGAGAAAGTCACTACCTGGCTGAACAACCACAGAGAGAACATACCAAACAGCTTCTACCTTCAGTCTGATCCCACCTTGCAGGGTAAAGGAGAGTGCACAAATGCTCATGAGGATGTCAACATCTTGAAAGACACTATGAAGAAGCTGTTGGCCATCATCCACTTGCCCAATGAGGCATCCCAAAAAATGGTCAAGATCACAGACATCATCTGCTCAGATGAAAATCACCCTCAGCTAGCTGTGGCCCAGGCAGAATTACATCATCTTCAGGAGCGAGCAACATACATCAGTTCTGGCGATTATGAAGATGGCCAGAAAAGGAAGCATCACACCTTGAAAAAGCCTTCTTACACCCACTTCACATCACCTATTCGACGGTACATTGACATTGTGGTGCACAGGTTGCTTAAAGCAGAATTGCCGAACAGGGGGGAAGAGCTCAGGCCGTATGCAAGTGAAGATTTGTCACTGATTTGCCATCACTGCACCAATCAAAGCATTATGGCGAAACATTTTGAGAAAGAAACCATGAGCTTCCACTTGGCACTCAAGCTGAAAGAGACACCTCACAAGGTCAACGCATTTGTCCATGCCATCGGAGAGTCCAGCCTGCAGCTGATGTTCCCATATCGCAGCTTTGTTCCAAGGACCACCCAAACTGTTCCTTACCAACATCTCAGCCCAATGACAAAACCTGACCTTACTGATGCTACAGAAGTCAACCTGGCATGGAAGATGCGCATTTATGATGTGAACATGCCGCCAATTCAAAGCATCAAAAGCCCTTTCAAACTCGACTCAGAGCAGTCCATTGTGAAAATCCCCTCAGCTGACATGCAGAAGCTGCTGTGGGGAATTAAAAACAATAACTTCAACTGCATTCAGTGTGTCGTGAAAAGAGTCAATAAGAACCACCTACAACTGGAGGAAGACAAAAGCCAACATCTGAAGGCACCAGACGGCACATCGCTGCCAGTTGCAGAAATAGCACAGACAGTGGACTCTGATGGGAACCCCTTCCCTTTTACAGACTTCTTCCGTGACTTTAAGCAGAGTGATGTTGTGGAAGTCTGTCTAGCTGTGTCCATATCCAGGGGCATGATACAACCCAGTGTTCAGCATTTCAAACTGACTCCAAAGCTGGGTTTGTGTCAAGAACATAGAGACGAACCTGCCGAGAGTTTTGATGTGGTGGCCTCAAAACGGGCAGTCCGATGCAGCACCGTGGAGAAATACCAGAACATCTGGCTGCCAATCCTGGAAGTAATGAGCGTTCACAACGCAGTCCACAGCAATGAAAGCATTTTCATCCAAGGGCTGAAGATCAATTGGGACTATGACAGATCAACTGGTACTTGGTCAGGAAGGTTCAGTCTCACTGCCTCCTTCTGTGAAAGGTGGCACATAAGATTCAGTTTTCCCAACAAATCAGAAGAGTCTGATAAGCCTGACAACGAGGAAATGAGTAAGGAACTTGAAGTCGACTTGGACTACCTGTGCATCAGCTACACTGACCTTCCCCTGTCGGACGAGGCAAAAGTAGCTCTCCGAGAGCAGCAGTACAAACTACAAAGTAGTACTGACTTACCAGAGGGGATGGTAGTAACGGCTCATGCAGCAGTGACTGATGTGACACGTTATAAGGGTAATCAAATCGTCCATTTTGATGTGAAGAAGCTCAGCTCACCATTTCCCAAGATCCTGTTGGAGTCTGCCGAGAGGTTTTTCTGCACTGTGGAAGTGATTCCCAAGCAAGAGCAAGACAGGCAAGTCAAATATTCATTTTTTTTAGTTTGCTGCTCTTATCAGGGGTCTTTCAAGTCGCTTCAAGTCCCCCAAGCTTTCGGCTGGGGGGGGGAGAACTTGAAGGGGGAGCAAAAAGGGGGAAGGCATGGGGTAACTGCCCCCCTTTGTGAACTCGTGTCCCCTCTTGCCCTCTCATAGGAGCCTCGCTATGCCACTGACCCTCGGGTAACATTTTCATGAATATAGAACACTTTTTTCAGCGAAAGTCATTATTCGTTTTTGCTTTTTTATTCAGGCGACTTGAGACTGCCGTGCGGAGTTTGGAAAAGGCATCCCCACTTATAAAGGACATCTGCCTGCAGAGAAGACCAGTCGGTATGTGGACAGTCATTGAGCCTTCTTAAAATTGATACTTTGTTGTTAAATCCTGAATATTTTTCATGCTTGCAAGTATAGTCAATCGCTTAGCAGTTTCCTACTGATTGTATGGTTGTCATGGCACAAGTACTCCAGAACAGACACTTTGAGCAGAGCTAGAGTGAACACAATAAGCCAGTGATGCCAATTTATCTATTAGACGGATTAATAACATTATTAATATCATGATTGTCGACCATTTTAGTAAATATGCTCTCATGCAGGGCTTAAAAGTATTTGATATTTACAAAACAAGATCCGCTGATCATGATGTGCTGAAATTAATTCTGAAAAGGGTGCAAGAGGTCCCAATCAGTCAGTGATTAGGCCTTGTTGCATGCTGATATCTGAGCAAAAAACAAAAAAGAAATACCACAAGCAGTTTCAAGCACTTCTTTCAAGTGCGAATCCATTGCCTTTATGGGGCTTGTCTTTCCAAGGAAAAATTTGTCGTATTGAAACAAAAGGCAGCCCCTCTTGGTTAGGTATGGGTCCATGTACTACTGATGAACTTGTATGGTCATTCTTCCTATATAAATAGAATTTTGCTCTCCATCTTACAGGCGGACTGACTTTGAATCTGCCCACGCTGGCTGTTACCACCGAAACCCCATTTGGCGAGTTGAATGAATCTCAACAGATTGCAATCTCCCATGCTCTCAAGCAGGCATTCACTGTAATCCAGGGGCCCCCAGGTAAAATTTCTCAGTACTCCCACACCTGTTTTCAGTTGGTAAATTCTGGGTCCACAATTTGAACAGGAAAACCTATTCACTGAACTGTGTCTTCCCTAGATGAAATCAAGCCGAAGAAATTATATCTAAGAAAACTCAATTGCAGCTACATTCTATACTTGGCATACATGCATTTTGGAGAGTCACAAACCTTTTTGATTGGGGAGGCATGTGACACATTTATACCACCGTCCCACCATGCATGGTATTGCTGCAGTAATGGATTCTAAATCTGGTCACTAAATTGGTAAGAAGATTACCAGTCAGAAAGAAGCATCAACAAGATTTAATCTGACATTTCATCTGTGTTAAACCTTTTCACTGGCTTAACCTTTTCTTGTAAATAAAGGCACTGGAAAGACAATCGTTGGTGCGAAGCTGACTTCCCTCTTCGTTGAACGTAACAAGTGCTTGACATGTTGTGCCAAAACACCTCATGTTCTGTACTGTGGACCCTCTAATGAGTCGGTGAACGTTGTTGCTGGTGAGTTAATTTTGTCTTATGCACATTGATAAATCACCAATATCAACCTCAGATTAGCTTTTATGCATTAGCATTCAACCATGTTTTCAACTGAACGTACACAGAATATATAGTGTTACGTAATTATGTGATATTGTGTGCATATTACAGAAACATTGTTTTTGTCTAGTCCTTCAGTAATGCAGTTGTTTTATCACAGATGGTTCTCACGGATCCATGCTCCAATTTAGAAATTTTTTTTCGGGGGTCCGTGTTTTGAACCACATTCATATACCTGTACAGCTTATAATTTAGACGTCTTTTATTCAGCTTCAATCTTATCATTGCGCAACTATTCGCTCTTATCACTAAAGCCAAATTGCATCTCACTTCTCAAATAATACTCTATATGCAGAGTTTTCAGTGACGGTCACTGCTGCACATAGGCTCTCTTGTCATGCTTCTTTTATACATCTGTAATAACCTGGTAGACGTGGCAAGTGAAATCTGTTCCAGCAGCCTGAGTGTAATTCAACTAGTGCTGTACCATCATTATAACAGAATGTATTTTTTAAGAAAGTACTTCATAATCACTTGTGATTCTACTCAAAAATGATCTTTACTTGGTATGTAAATTCAGAGAAAATCCAATCTTAAATAGTTAAAACACATTGGTCGGTGGTTGTTCGGTATCCTAATTTGTCCAGGCTATCTGAAGAGGTTTCATAATCTGAGGGTGGTCCGTGTCTACAGCGAGACAATAGAACGACAGAAATTCCCCATCCCCGGGGACCCAGTCGAGATTTGCCAAAATAGAACCGGCCAGGAGAACAAAATGGACAGTCGGCTGGATGACATTGCTCTGCATAACCTGATCCGGAGGCCCAGCAACACTCACAGTGAGAAGATCAAGGAATTTGACCAACTCTTCAGCCAACCTAAATACAAGGCTTCCCAGGATAAAATATGGCAGTACAGGAAGGAGGTTGCTAAAGCTGAGGTGAGATTATCCAATTGCGCCATTCTGTTTGCTTTACAGATTACAATGCTTTTTGTGCGCCATTGATTTTTAAATCCTACTCAAAGGGAAACACTATTTTAACGATTGGCGTAATGTGTCACATACCTTTCCCAGCAATTCTCAGTCAAAAAGCCTACAGCTGACCGATGCTATGAAACTGAAATATTGGGTGGCTTCAGCTTGATCGGTGGAAGCTTGGTCACTAACTCTGTTGCTAATTCTTGGTTTTGGAAGTATTTTTGGGGAGCCATCTGGAGAATTTCCCTCATCATTCTGCTGCACAGCCACAGTTTTCTTTTTCTTTTTTTGGGGGGAGTTGCATACCAATTTACTCATCAATGAGGCTGCATCAGTTTGAATAATTGCATATACAAATATTTGACCTCCTGTCCAATTAATGCAGTCGTAAAGAATTTTGCCCAAAAAGTGGGAAAATAAATAAATGAATGTTTGTGTGGCAGTCTACGTCATTCAGTTTTAGGACTGGGGTCCATCCACTAGTTATAGGAGATTTTAGGAGTTTTTCTGCCCTAATTTGCCCAATTCCCTTTAGAGATCACACAAAAAATGAAAACGAAAGCTTGAGGAAAATTCAGTTTTTGGCTGTATCGCTACCGTTGTTTACTCACAGCACCTCACCTGTTTTAGAATGTAATTTTTGGTGGTGTTGTCCCCTTTTTTGCACAGTCCCCTTTTATGCTATTGTTCTTATTGCATTACAGAATTAACACTCAGTTTGACTACCCACTTCAAGGATACAGACTTGCACATTTACTTCAACGCCCTTGCAAAACTTATATTTTTTTGAAGTACCATCATCTGGGCATTCCAGCCACAGATGTCCTCTGTACAATTCCTTTTGCGGAATACCCAGTTCTCTGCACGAGTCAGCTCGACCCTTTTTTGTGATGATGATCTAAAGTGCAGATAAATCTGTTGCATATTGCATGTGCCTATTGTAATATATTACCAGTAAGCTTTCTACAGTGGCATTTGCTATGACCTCCTTGTTTTGGTGAAAATGAATCACAGAGTGTGTTTTTTTTCCTTGTCAGCAGCAGAGATGACTATTGAATCATTGTTGTGAGACTGTCACTTTTTGTCCTTTCCGTAGGAGGAGGAACTAAGTAAGTACGAAGTCATCTTGTGCACATGTAACGCTGCAGGGAGTCGGCGTATCAGGGACAATGCCAATGTGGTGCAGTGCATCATTGATGAGGCAGGGATGTGCAGCGAGCCAGAGACACTGATCCCACTGGTTGCCACCGGCCCCGAGCAGATCGTGCTCATTGGTGACCACAAACAACTCAGGTGGGGAATTCTTCCTGGGCAGTCCAGAGAGGAAACCAGTCTCTCAATTGTCAAATTTGGGAGACACCATTCCTTTGGGCCACCATGCTCTTGCACTTTAGCGCGCACACAATTTGGCAAGTCACAACACCCTGTTGGTCGGAGAGGAATTAAATGTGCACCTACCACCTGCCTGTGAATATCAGGGCCAATTTCATAGAGCTGCTTAAGCACAAAATTTGCTTAAGCGTGAAAAAACCATGCTTGACAAATCAGGTAATACCAGCCAAAACTCCATGTGATTTATGTTTTGGAATAGTATTCACCTGTTGTTTGGTTAACATGACAATCACATAGATTTCAAGCTGGTAACCTTTGTTTTTTAAGCTAGTTTTTTTGCGCTTAAGCAAATTTTGCGCTTAAGCAGCTCTATGAAATTGGCCCTGATGGCCCCACAGTAACGCCTTCAAATTCTTGCCACCAAATTTGTGTGTTACGACTCTGCTGTGTACTTTGGGGCATCACTTTACTGAGTGCAATTAATTTGCATCAGTATGAATGTGGTTAAGACAAAAATCCTGTCAGAACGAACATAAATTATCAATCCCAATTGACTTTTGCCGGTTTCTATGGGTAAACGTTTACATAAGACAAGAAGTTTTTAATATGAAAGGTTTTTAATGATGTTCTCACATGGTAAAGTATTGTTTACAATCAATTTACAACAAATCTTTTTCAAAACTGAAGATAAATCATGCTTGCATGTTGAACACTTCACTTTTAGGCGTGTCTTTCAGATTGTGATTTCAATGCTTTGGTGCAGTGCTAATATTACTCTTTGATATAGTGCACACTTATAGTGCAGCATATGTAATCCCTGACTGATTTGTTCTGCAGTTTTCTCTCAGTGTAATGAAAGAAAATGGTCACTAAAAGTCTAAATACAATCAGTTTTTTTTTTCACTCGTCTCAACCCGTACCAAATTAGCCAAAATTTTGCCACAAACCAGTCAGTCACTTACATAGTCGTGAAGTGATATCGAGTCATTTGTTCAAACATAATTTTGGACCTGGTCTTGAACAAAAAACAACTGGCTGTTTGACTATTCAAATGAAAGAATTTTTCTATTAAAACCCTTTAGGCTGTTTCTTAACCTTTCATAGGAGTAATATCAAACCTTTTTTTTTTCAATTAGGCCCATCATCAAATCCAAACTTGCTGAGGATCTTGGCATGGGAATCTCTATGCTGGAGAACTGCAAAGACAGTGTCCACATGCTGACAACTCAGTACAGAATGGTATGGTGCCACTGCATAATAAAGTCACAGCATTTTAAAATTCAAGTTTGAAACATTTAGTTGTTGGCTTCCTTTTATTTGCCTTTGTGTCAGACATTTATGTGTTACTGTGGACAGTGAAAAAAAGGCTTTTGTTACCAAATATGGGGGGGGATATCCCCCATCCATTGGATACAGATGCTGTGCCACTGTTAAGGATTAATTGAAGTCCACATTTTATCTTGCTTGATTTGAACTGTATTTGTTTGATTTACTCACTGAGGTGAACATTTTCAGCTTCTCGAAATCAAAGTCAAATTAATGTGCCATCTTCCCTCTTAAGTTCATCCCAGTATTCTGGAATGTGTCATATGCTTTCATTTGCACAGCACGAATCCATCTGTAAGTTCCCCTCCGACACCTTCTACAAGAGCAGGCTGGAGACTGCCGAAGCGGTGAAGCAAAGGCGGCCCGAGCTGAGAGGGCAGCATATCTGGCCAGGGGGACCAACCTTCCGGAATGTGTTCTGTCATGTTCAGGGTCGGGAGGAAACACTGACCGTGAAGGCCGCAGAGGGCAACGAGATGTCCAAGGCAAATCCGGCAGAAGTCGAGCAAGTGGTAGGTTCATTCTAGGGCTCTGCGTCTGCACTTAAAAAATACCTTAGAATTAGTATTTTATTTCCTTCTCACAGTGGTGATTCAGTAAATGATTCACTAGCCCCCCTGGTCAAAAAGTAGGAGGATGAATCAACAGTGGCAGAAGGATTTTCAAACTGGTGGGGGGGAAAGTGTAAAGGTCATCAGGCATTAGCCATTGAAAGGCGGATTGATTAAGCCCACCCAATTACTTGACCTGCAAAAAGTGGGGGAGGGGGGGCATGCCCCTATTCGAAAAAGTGGCCCCTGACCCCCAGTTTCCACTGGTTCACGCCCCTGGGGCTCAGTGTTTCAAGGAGGTTGTATACCATTCTTTGATAGGTCGCACTTCACGTGTACAAGTTGAGATAAGTTTAAGTATATTCTTAGGCTTATTTATGTACCGTGTGTGTTCCTAACGTTTTGTTTGTTTTTTATTTGTTGTGTTCTTCGTGAGACTGTTGATAGCCCAACAATTTTGTTTCTCATAATTGGCCGTAGCTGGCAGGATTGAAATGTGTGTAAAATTTTTAAAAAAGAAACAAAAAAGTCCCAAGTGTTCCACTGTTGATATCTGGAACAGTCTTCAATTTGAGAGACTTGCAAACTGTAACCAATATAAAGTCACCCTACTTCTCTTAGACTTTTCAGAAAAACAAAATAGCATGGATTTCAAACGTTTTGTGTGGAATATTTTTAAATGAAAACCAAACTGCACATAATGCTAGAGCTTACCTCAAACAAAAGGTTGCTGAAAAGCTATGGACTAAAGCAGCATCTGCCATACAAATGCACATTTCATACACACTGGTTAGATTTATTTCAATTGGTGGTAACAGCTAGAGGTTGTATATATTTTGTAAACCTCAAGATGGTAATTTGTAGAGGAAATGGAACTTTGTGTGGTCTTTTCTGCAGGTGAAAATTGTCACCAGCTTGATACTTCAATGCAAGATCAAGGGAAAGAGGATACTTGTGTTGTCCCAGTACCGACTGCAGTGTGCCAAGATAAAGGAGAAAATAAGGGAGGCAATTGCAAAGCAAAAGAAGTATCACCTGAGAAGAGAACTCAAGAACGTGACAGTCAGTACTGTCATTACTAGTCAAGGTTAGTATCATACACCCATAGGCACATTCAGGTATGGTTAGGGAGAAAAGGGCTAAGATGGTGGTAGTACGTTTCTTCTTTTTTTTTTTTTACATATGCTAGGGTTTTGAATTTCTATTAAAAATAAGAAATTGCTAACATGTCGGGAGAGGGTACATTTCCCTGCACCCTAGCCTGCTGGATACACCACTGGTGTCACCCTGATGGAATTTGGGTGGGCCATGGGCTGGAATAGCATTTACCAGTGACTATTTTTGAAGGAGGAGGTGGAGAGTGGAGAAGGCCATTTGGATTGTCACTTTATTTACTGAGCAACACTAGTTGGATCCTCATAGATTGGTTTTCCATGGTGCAGTTTTTCAAATAGATTTTAAAAGTCTCCTCCCCCTCCCCTCTCTTGATCTGCTACTGTTACGAATTGAACTCTGTTGACTCTCAGGTGGAGAGAGGGACTACGTGGTATTCTCCACAGTGCGTTCACTGCCCAGGCAAGAGATCGAGGACAAGCCTACCCTTGGATGGAAACACCGCCACCTGGGCTTCATCATGGATGACAACCAGATAAACGTGGCCCTCACCAGAGCCAGGAATGGTCTCATCATTGTTGGTAAAAGCTACTTTACCGTTCAAAGAAACTTTCAGACATTTTTTTCACCTAATCCACACCTTCTTCAAATGTATTTTTACTATTTTTGAATCCGGAAACAAATGTTTCCCTAAACTACTTTGTTCAGCAGTTGGCATGTTTACTGGCTGGAAACATTTCCAGTCAACAGCATAAAGTGTACTAACTGAGCAGTCATCCAGTGCGGTCATGATGCCATACTCATATTTTTTCCATATCATATTTTATTACCGTTGAATTTGTTAAAAATCTCAGGTTTATCATACTAAAGTGGCCCATAGCTGGGGGTGGGGTTGGAGGCTCAAACGATTGCCAACTCACTGATGATTCCTGCAATACTTTATGAACACTTTGGGTGCCACAAACCTCACTCTAAATACATCGGTAAGATATCTGCCAGACGGTAAACAAGATCACATCACAGAAGATATCATATCGACAGTAGCAGCAAGAAGGTGAGGACCACAAGTGGTTTTGTCTCAACCTTATGAACCTATCCTTTCATTTCTTTTTATCAGGCAATCAACGCCTTCTGCAGGTGCATTCTACGTTGAAGGAACTGCTGGACTATTACCGACGAAATGGCGCTGTCCTGAATGCACACACTTTCTTGCGTCGGATGATCACTGATAACCAGAACCAGTGAATACAAACTTGAAACTATATCTACCAGATTTCCTTTCCAGCCAGCAATTTTTCAGATAACAGCAACTTCATGTTTGTCAGTAGGACACAAGATCCTCTGGAGGGTCAAGGATTTTTTTAAGGGGGGAGGGTGGTCCTGCCCTAAAGCTGGGCATACAAGTCCGGAACTTTTTTCATTATTTGTAACTAATGTAATTTGTAAATAATGTAATTTGCCATGCAGGATGATGCGATTAGTTAGAGTTACATCCTAGTCAGTCACTAGAACTACAGTTTAAAAAAAAAAGAATTCTTGTGTATGATTTAACTTCAAGAGAGGAAGTTTTAGACACGGTCTTTTGATATGTAAATAATTACCTTCAGTTAAATGGAAGAAGTGGTCTGTTACATGAACCAAGCCCTAAGATTCACCTTTGACAGGATTGGCTTGGGTTTATAATTGTAAATAATTAAATGTAATTTAGCCATGTAGGGTGGTGTGAATACTCAGCTTCTGGCAGTCACTCAAATTGTATTGACGTAAAACAAAAGAAGGGAAAAAGAAATCTAAACTTTTCTCAGCATTCATAAGGTCAACCTGTGTGACAGCGAATCTTCAATTAAGAGGCCCAGTTTATCCAGCCTTGTTTTCATGGGCACAATCTTGCCACGCCATGTTGGTTCCAACTATTCCTTGTGCAGTCTTAACCCCTGGTATTGTAAGATTGAAATATCCCACTATTTGAGAGATTTAAATTGGGACTGTAATTGATATGTATAATCATCTTGAATAGCCAGTCAGTATTTTATGACCATAGGCTATGAAGAAACACGCATACAGCCCATGGAGTCAAGGTTTCAGTTTACCCATTGTACTTTCTAGAAACATCGAGTCATTTTCTTTTTATTTGCTCTTGCTTTCCCTTGTAGGTCTTATTAATTCACCATCCCAGGTAAAAGATCATGTCTCTTCAATTAAACATTTTTTTAGCTCTGCTGAAACTGGCATCTAAACAGAGCTTCTTTCTAAGCACTTAGTTTTTAACTCCTTAGGTAATCTATCGCCCAGCTCCTTTTTGTACAGCATGTAGTATATAAAATCATGCATTTAATGTGCAAGTCTAGTTATGTTTTCCATTATTTTTGTACTCATTTCCATCATTTTGATACCTTTCCAACTTAAATGTTTTTGTGTAAAACCTGTACCATTTTGTCGTAGATCTAAGGTGCAATTCCTTGAACTGGTTGTGTTCAATGACAAGTTCATCTTTGTGGCATTTTATCCATGTTAGAGATCTGCTAAGCTCCTTCCTAAGAGAAACACTCTGGCATCTTGACTATTTTATTTCTGTCCTCAAGGGCAGATCCAGAACTGAAGTTTTGGATGGGGCAAATGGTTATTTGGTAATCAAAAGTTTCACAATTTTTTCCATGTCATCTTTCCTGTCCTCTCTGAAGGCTGAAGCTACAGAGGGTATCATAATTACATCATGTCATCTGAACAGTTAGATGTTCAACATGTAAATAATATGTGACTTTATAAATACATGATGTATATAACAAAAATCTAATGTACATGTAGTTTGATTATGTTTGTAGTTATGATGTATATAACACACGTTTAATGTAGTTAGATTTCCCATTGATTGGTCTCTTGTAGTAGCCTATGTATATTGTAATCCAGAAATATATGTAAAACAGTGCAGGTTTGGTGTCTGTTGGTAATCGAGGGTGATGTGTTATTCAAAAAATCAAATTATTTTTCTGAAGTGTTCTGATGAGCTGTGTAGTTTACGTTTTTACATGTTAGTGTAGGCTAGTGCAAGGAGTAGTGGTATTTTTCATTAATCCTAACCCCAAGGCCCTTTTACTAGGAACCATCCTCAATCCTCTGAAATCCTCCTATTTTCAACATGAAAAAAGTACATTCACCCTCAATCCTCTGAAATTCTCCAAAATTTCTTGAAAATGTTATTTGGAGGTGTGCCAACTGCCTGAAGCCTTCAAAATCCTCCGGTAATTCCTCCCGTTGTGTTGAGGCAGTGCAAACGGCATTCTTGAGCAGTTCGGTTGATTCAAAAGAAATATTGGGTTGAATTTATGCATGACATGACCTTCACTCATGGCATCCTTCATAATCAGCCTTGCACTTTTGCCATTAACCCATCCTCCAAAATCCTCCAAAACTGCCCAAAGGATTTTGGAGGATGGAGGAGGGTTACAGAGAATAATATTATGCAGCTAGTTTACCTAAAGTGTCAGGGGTTTTTGGTGTTTGATACAGCTACATGTACTTACAAGGGGTTGCCAACAGTGGAGAGCAAGTTGTTTTCTCCTATTAAGATGTAAATTCTGTCAAAGTTAATCAGTAACTAGTGGAGAAGTGACTGTTGGGAAGAAACTTTGCCGCATATAAAAAGGGGGCTTCAACCCTTCTGTTTCACTCCTTAATTTCACTAACTCAAATTTGAGGAAATTGGGCCAGAATTCCAGTGCTTTGACCAAACTTTGGTTGGGAGGCTAAAAGGAACAATGAATAAAGAAATAAATAAATAAAAATAAAACAAGGCATAAGTACATTTACTTTTGATTGAAGAATTGTCATGATTTTTAACTTTGCTCGGTGAGCATTTTGTTTGGTGCTTTAAATCAGATTTCCTGACGAACCCCACATGAACCAAGACTACAGTCGAATTTCCGTTTAAGTCATTCATTTTCAAAAACTTTTGAAGAATTGTATATTTTCACTAGAAATCACTGAATCCCTGGTTTCATTCTTTGGAACGGGAAGAGAATAATGGTGCAATTTTCTAAAAAAAGTGAAATTCTCTGTGGCAATTATGTGCCTTACTTGTGCAGTCTTATGGTAGAAAAAAGAATACTTTTTTTGCTATTTATGTTTGACTTCAGCGTAGTACAGATGTAGCACATAATTGAGTATACCCACAGAGATAGGACAGATTTGGGTGAAGTGATATAGTTTCGAAATTTGTTTTTTGAGATACATTTTTCACGA